TGCATCGGGCACTGGGACTATGTTGCACATCTGGTGGAGCTGCCCAAAGCTTAGTGGCTTCTGGCGAGCTATAGTAGAAGTGATAAAGGATAGCACGGATATACATTTACCCTACCTGATGGAAATCCCTACTATAGAAATGTGCCTGCATCACATTAACCAAACAAGTCTGCATGAGTTAGCATTCAGGAAACAAAATACACCACCCAAGCGCAAACACCCCAACTAACGGCATTACCGTGAAAAATGGGATGGGTTCGCAAAGAACCATGCAAAATCACACAGCCCAAAACGAGTCCTGGGTCCGTCAGCTCTGCCCATCCAAATCTAGCCCAGATTGGGCCTGTAGTCATAGGGGTTACATGAAATGAGTGCGTGTAAGATACTCAATAGGAAACATATGGCAGTTAATTCCCACACTATTTCTTCAAAAATGAAAACACCACGGCAAAGTTTATCCTCATTTGCACTGTGTGGATCTATACGATGTATTATTGTCCAAAACACATTAATCTCCAAGAGAAACTGAGGGTTTTAGTGCCTGAATGGTGTTCTTCATTTTTGGTGGGCCCTATATACATTTATAACTAAGGTAAAGTCTCTTTGTTTTAAAGTAAAACTATAGAGTAATATGAAACTGTATTCCTAACACTATAGTGCCCTCTGCCAACCCTCACCCCCTAGATAAAAAAAAAAAAAAAAAGTTAAACCCTTTTTGTCACTTGATTCCAGCATGGATCTCCCTCTGCACTGGGTCAGGCTCCTTCTCTGCCGACATCAGGTACCTGCGGCGCATTCAGGATTCCCTTTAGGAAAGCATTGACTCAGTGCTTTTCTATGGGGTTTTTCAAGAAGCTGGATGTCCTCATGCATAGCATGATTTCACCCGAAAGTGTCTCTAGTGGCTGTTTTGTACACAGCCACTCGAGGATGAGTTAACCCTCCAAGGTAATTATTGAAGTTTCTCAGAACATTGCAGGGTTAAGGGGACAGGCACACTGCAGATAGAACACTTCAATGAGATGAAGTGGTAAGGGTGCCTGTACTGTCCCTTTTAAAGAGCAACGTCTTACTCTGCTTATTGCTATCTTTTGGAAGTCCTCAGTTCTAAACTATGCATAGGCACAGTGATAAGGGGACCTTTTGCACCATAAATTTGCATAGGTTGTTACAAAGCGATATTTACTAACAGTCCTGGATTGGTTGGAACAGTCCCAATTTGGGGTTTATGTTTTATGAACCCAGGATTGCTCTCCAGTTTCCCACACATTTAATTCCAGATACACATTTCACTGCACATACAAATTACTATAGAGCTTACTGTAACTGCAGAGCCCAAAATTGTTCAATTTAATTGGTTTAGAAGTGGCAGTATAAAAAAATGGTCAAATATTTTTGCTCATTTTGAATTTCCCCAAAAAGTATGTTGTCCATCCTTGGATACAGAATAATTGTGCATCTGGCCTATTAAGAGTTAGCCACTCGATAATCTTAAGAGGCCTTGAATCCTCTTGACTAGGGCTTGGAAAAATAATACCCATATCATCAAAATGAGCACCCATAGGGACCTGCCATATCAGCTCTCTCTGTATTATGTGATGCGAAGTAATATCCATCGAGATGCGCACAGTGTTATTTTTTTCATAAATTGCCCATCCCACTATCCATATAATATTTAATGTCTACTTTGTACATGCATCTAGTATGATCCTTCTGATGGTCATAAACAGCACATGATCAGTATCGAGCAGGGAAATTTCACAGAACAAATCTCTATCAGATTTCCTTACCAGATACTGCGCACGTGCAGTATCAGTCTGCTGTGCCTACCTGACAGGAGTCGTTTTTCTAATATTTCCATACACTTGCACACCCCCGTCCCACCTCCTACTTCATGTACTAGCATTGCATATTGTAACTGTCTGCATACAATACCATCAATTTCTTAAACAAGTGAAATAAAATGCATCAGGGCCCTCACATTCTTTTCATAAGTTCTGATCTTAACTCCAGCAAGCATTTACGGAGTTCTCGGTATTTTTATTTATATTTTTCTTGTATTTTTACGCATTATCATTTTAATACATTGTGCAGTGCATTAAAATAATAATTGGACAGTTTTATCCTGGATTGTTCTTTTAACACGACTCCCAGCACTGAGTGGTATGAGACAAAGATGGATGGATGGGCTTGAGGGGTTGTGTAGCCAGTGGTGACCCTCCTCACTGGTGATACCCTAGTACAGGCTTCCCCAACCTCTGGCCCTCCAGATGTTGCCGAACTACAACTCTATGATGATTCTATGAATGAAATAGCCTGAGAATCATGGGAGTTGTAGTTCGGCATCATCTGGAGGGCCGGAGTTTGGGGAAGTAGGTAGAACTACAACAATCAAACAAGAAGTGTTACAGTGCAAGTATCCGTTAAAAAAAAAAAAAATTATATATTAAGCCTATTTAATGGTGTATCACCATATTAAATATGCCAAGTGCAGCAACCATTCAGAATCCTGGTAATGAATTTACAGACAAATACTAACAATGGTGCATAAAAAGTAAAACAAAATAAGAGTATTGATCAACTGATATATAAATAATTCCTCCTTTAATTGCATAAAAAGTGATAACTGTGTATATCATGTAATATAAAACTAATTATAGACACAAAAAATAGGAAATATCCTTTGCAATAATTAATTTGTCAAGATAGTGTTGCATAAAATATTGTATATGTATACAGCTGCAGCACTGACCCAGGAAGTACATCTAGTAGCAGTCTAAGTGACTGCCAGTAGAGGCAGTGTTTACATTAGAATGCCTGCAAGGAAAGGCAATAGCCACTGGATCTACGCCGTAGTTAAGCTGTAGTTGGTTGGGTAACTATAGTGTCCCTTTAAGCTAAAGTTGTTCAGGTGCTTAGCATGTCCTTTTTAATATAATGGTATGTCTAGCAAGTCATTTTGGAACATATTTAACCCCTTAAGGACCAAACTTCTGGAATAAAAGGGAATCATGACATGTCACACATGTCATGTGTCCTTAAGGGGTTAAAGGGGTGTTATTAAAAAAAAAAATCTCCGGGTCAGTTCATTTAGAATGGTAGTTACACCAAAATTTTTTTTTAAAAATACAGTAATTTTGTTATATCAGAAGTCCTCCAATGTTTACTCAGAGCCTCCACTGGGTGTCACTATACAACTGGAATCTTGTTGTAGAGTTACTCATTGTTGAGATTTTTGAAGGGACACTTTTAAAATCTCAATGAAGCAGTCTGTGGCAGTCTGTGTTGTTTCGGATGATAAACAGGTTGCTTGAGCAGAGCTTTCTTCATCTCTTTCCCTTTCTATAATTGTAAATTGCTGCAGAATATGTTGGCCCCATATAGATGCTAAAAATAATAAACACCTCTAGTGTCTAGTCGACACAGAAGCCACTAGATCAGTGGTGGCGAACCTATGGCACGCGTGCCACAGGTGGCACGCCGAGCCCACTCTGTGGGCACGCGGCCATAGGTCGCCGGAGGGAGGCAGGGTGCGCTCCGCCGGCGCATCCATAAGGCGGCACAAGTGGCCGCCTTAGGGTGCACCGGCCCGGCGGGCGCAAAGCCGGAGTGACCGGCAGGAGGTGAGCGCATAGAGCACAGCGCTCCCTCCTGCCAGGCACTCTGTGTAGCGTGGCCCAGCGCACCGCGGTACAGGAACTTATGTTTCCTGTACCCGGGCGGCCGGAAATGAAGTGCTCACAGAGCGAGCACTTCCTGTCCGCCGGGTACAGGAAACATAAGTTCCTGTACCGCGGTGCGCTCGGCCACGCTACAAGGTAGGAGCTCGAGGAGGAGGGAGGAGGGAGGAGGGGGGACCTGAGTGGGAGAGAGATGGGGGACGGACTGAGGGAGAGCCATGGGGACGGGGAGGAGCCATGGGGGACTGAGGAGAGCCATATGGGGGGACTGAGGGAGAGCTATGGGGGGGACTGAGGGAAAGCCATATGGGGGGACACTGAGGGAGAGCCATGGGGGACTCACTCCACTGAGGAGAGCTATGGGGGGGGACTGAGGGAGAGCCATGGGGGAACCTGAGGGAGAGCTATGGAGTGGGGGGACCCGAGTGAGAAAGATGGGGAACTGAGGAGAGCCATGGGCCAAAATCGAGTGGGAGAGAGATGGGGGAAACTGAGGGAGAGAGATGGGGGGGGAAACCGAGGGAGAGAGATGGGGGAAACTGAGGGAGAGAGATGGGGGGAAACTGAGGGAGAGAGATGAGGGGAAACTGAGGGAGAGAGATGGGGGGCTAAACTGAGTGGGAGAGAGATGGGGGGGCTAAACTGAGTGGGA